GGGCTAAGGGAATGCTTATCTCCTCGAGCACGGCCTTCATCCAACCATTCCTTCACAATAACTTCCCAATCCTTGAAGTGTTTGCAAAGAAAATATGATAACAGTACTTTTCATGCTCTAATACTCTTTAAGCTTATTTACTTAGAATGTTCTATTTTTCATCACTTGTTGTCAAACTCAAACTAGTACGTACAGGCTTCCAGTGGTCTCTCATCTATATATTGGCAAAATTCTGACTTGCTAAGCTTCAACACAGTTCTCCCATAATGTGGTCATTGCTTTTAAATGGTAGGACCCATATGTATCCTAAATGAGGGGAGAGGCACGCATCAAAAACGAAGTTTGGCTTATTTCACTTTGGTTTTAATGCTGCACAGACTCTTAACGTGGCCTGCTTATTCTGAATGTGGGGATATGAAAATCTCACTTTCAGTGTCTGTATTCAATCCATTCCTAGTCTGTACCAATATTTGACAGGTGTGTACATATAAAGTCATGCGAAAAAGTAAGTACACCCCATTGAAATGTTTGACTTTTTCAACATACAGGTAGTCCTCGAGTTATGACCATTCGTTCAGCAACCGTTTGAAGTTACACTGGCGCTGAAAAAATGGTACTTACTTCCAGTCTCCGAATGTATGGCCATTGCAGTGCCCCCACGGTCACGTGATCAAAATTTGGGTGCTTGGCAGCCTACCTGTACTTACAACCGCAGTGGCACTTCAACACCCCCCACCTGCCTATCTCCCCCCATCTCTGCCCTCCCCCCAACCTGCACAGCGGTACTCTTCAGCAGTGGTACTGAGGCTGAAGTAGAGACCCAGGGCCTTCAGCAGTCTCAGCCAGCTGCCATTGCTCCCAGGCCATTTCTTAAGCCCCAGCACCCCCACCACTGAGTGCCGCCTCAAGCCCTGCTCGCACCGTTCTCTTGTTCTCGTGATGCTTTGGAAGGCCTCAGAAGCCCAAAGGCCTTTTGAAGAACAGTGTGAGCGGCCTTGGGAAGAAGGTCTGGTGCGTCCAGCAGCTGCCTCGCATAGGGCCAGGCCAGGTGTGCCTCATCAGCAGCAGGAGGAAGACGGCTAAGGTCAGCTGGGTGCAGCAGGGCCTGCAGAGTGCAGGGTGGCAGGGGCTTTGCGCTGTGGCACTGGGGTGGCTGGCCGCAGAGCAAGGCTTGAGGTGGTACTTCTTGACAGCGTTGGGGTTGAAGTTGAGGCCCAGGGGTGGTGGCAGCTGGCTGAGACTGCTGAAGGCTCTGGGCCTCTACTTCAGTCCCAGTGCCATCGGCGCCACTGCTGCCACTGAGGAGTACTACTGTGCAGGGCACCCAAAAGTGAGGGGAGATAGGTGGGTGGGGGGAGTTCAAGAGGAGGCAGAGGCGGCAGTCCCTTACCTTACTGAGGCTCAGGGCTGGGAGAAACTAAGCCAGGAGTGACTTGGACCAGGGTGGGATTTGGTTAACGATGGCAACAGGGAGTGCCATCGCTAAGTGATGCGGTCATGTGATGTTTCACCTAAAGACCACATCGCATAGCGACGGAAATTCCAGTCTTAATTACCTCTGTAACTTGAGGACTACATGCATTTCAGTATACAGATATTTGATCATCATTTCAACACTATTAATAGATAAAGGGGATATAATAAAGTTCATGCACCATTTACATGTTGTAGTCCATTGTGTAATTTAAATAAACATAAATGCAAATTT